CGGCGCGTTGGCCTCCTTCTCTCGGGTAAGGCCGGATCTGGCAACACCGCATCCACCCAAAATCCCCTACCGGCACCACCGGGGTGGTCGTGGATGGATGCCGGAACCGTCCCGTCTTCCCGCAGTCCGTCTCACATGAGCCTAAGGAGCGCAAGTCGGTGACGGTGGAGGAGCAACCGTCTGGTGTCTACCACTACAACTACTGCGAGGACGATTCGGTAACCGGGGCCTGTCCCTTCGGGCCCTACCAGGGCCGCCAAACCAGCGCCATCTTTGAGGCTGCCAAGCGGGAGCTGGTCAAGCTCATGAAGGTGGAGGTGAGGGCAGAAACGGTGCCGGGACGAGGGAATGGTGGCTTTCTGGTTGTCCTCCGTTGCGTTGTGATGGGTTCCCATCGCTTCGTGGTGGTTCTTGTCACTTCATGGTGGTCCCCCGTTGCTTCGTGGTGGGTCGCCATTGCCTCGTGGTGGTCCCCTGTTGCTTCGTGTTGGTTCCCCCGTCGCTTTGTAGTGCTCCCCGTTGCTTCATGGGAGGTCCTCGTGGCCTTGTGGTGGGTCCCCATCACCTCATGGTGGATCCCCATCATTTAGTGGAGGTCCCCGTTGCCTCGGGGTGGTCCCCTTTCTCCTCGTGGTGGTACCCCATCACTTTGTGGTGGGTTCCCATCTCCTCGTAGTGGTCCCCGTTGCTTCCTGGTGGTCCCTGTGGCCTCCTGGTGGTCTTCTGTCTCCTCGTGGTGGTCCCCTTCTCTTCACGATGGTCTCCGTCACCTCATGTGATGCTGCTCTTCTCTCTAGGACCCTTCTCTCCTCAACAACCGGGTCTTACTCCATCACGCCAAAGCCGGGACGGTCATTGCCCGTCAAGGGGACCAGGTGGGGCTGGGTTTTGGGGAGCTGGTGTGGCATCTCACTTCCCCCACCCTATATTTCCATGGGGTGCAACTCTTCCTACTCCTGCCCTATGGGGGGTGGGGGGGGCATGAATGATCCCTAGGACTCTCTGGAGGGTGCAAAACACCCCGTGAAGAGGACCAGAAGAAACACCAAGAGGTGCTGGTGGGAACCCCTCGTGCTTGGGAGGGGGTCCCAGGTGGCCCCCAACGGTGATAGGGTGCCATTTTGGCAGGACGTGAGCCTCCATTTCGTGTTGTGGGGCTGCCTCCACGTGTACCAGCGGATGATCGACAAAGCGGAGGACGTCTGCCTCTTCTTGACGCAGCCCGGCGAGATGGTGGGACAGCTGGCCGTCCTCACCGGCGAGCCTCTCATCTTCACCATCAAGGCCAATCGCGATTGCACCTTCCTCAAAATCTCCAAATCGGACTTCTACGAGTGAGTCCCGGCACGGGCGGAGGAGTTTTGGGGCAAGGGATTGATGCCAAAGGAGGTTCCTGCGGTGAGCGCTCTGGTGGCATCTCTTGGGGCCACCACCGTGTCCCCCCAACTGCTGTTGACCTGTAGGATCATGCGGGAGCAGCCCAGCGTGGTGCTGAGCGTCGCCCACACCGTGGCTGCCCGTATGTCACCCTTCGTACGCCAGATGGACTTTGCCATCGACTGGATGGCGGCGCTCTACAGGTGGGTACCAAAGGCTGGGTGCCCATCTCAGCTTGGTGAGGACCACCTTGGCAGGAGACTGAGGTCCCACCGTTGGTGTCACCCAGGCAGGGTGACAAGTCGGACTGTACCTACATCGCGCTCAACGGGCGCCTCCGCTCCGTCATCCAGAAGGGCAGCGGCAAGAAGGAGCTCATCGGGGAGTACGGCCGTGGAGACCTCATCGGCGTGGTGAGAACCGTATCGGGGCCAGGAGATGGACACCCTAGACGTCTGGCCTATACATCTTGGCTATATGTCTTCTTCTCCAGGTGGAAGCCCTCACCCGACAGCCCCGTGCCACCACTGTCCACGCGGTCCGGGACACGGAATTGGCCAAACTGCCTGAGGGCACCTTGAACAACATCAAGCGCAGATACCCCCAGGTACCCCCAGATCCTCATCTTGGAGTCTACACTCTCTTCCCATGGAAGGAGCGTGTCCCCATGTCCCACCTCCCCCAAACCGGTGCCTGTGACGCTCGTTAAAACCGCCTTAAATTAAGGAATTAAAGAAGGCGTTAGAGCTGTTGGGGGCCAAGGGCTGATGTGGTAAAGGGGTGTCCCTCTCTGAAGTCCCCAAGGATGGATGGTGGTGGTGGCAGCACCCAAAAAAGGCGTGTGAGACACTAGTTAATGAGTTTGCAGCTTGGGAAGCCCTGCAAGGTCTGATGGCCATCCCTGTCCTCGTCCCTGCAGGTTGTCACCCGCCTCATCCACCTCCTGAGCCAGAAGATCTTGGGAAACCTTCAGCAGCTCCGTGGGCCCTTTGCAAGTAGGTCCCAAAGGAGTTGGGGACAACGGGATGCCCTCTCCAGGGCTGGTGGCCATCACCAGATTGGTACATGGAAGGTGTCCACCATCCCATCGTCTCTGTCCGTATAGGCTCCGGCTTGGGCATGGCCTCCAGCTCAGAGCCCACCAACCCCACCAGCAACCTGTCAACGGTGGCGGTGCTGCCGGTGTGCGATGATGTGCCGACGGCTGCCTTCACGCTGGAACTCAAGCACGCGCTCAACGCCATCGGTGAGTGCTGGCACGGTGGTGGCCATGGTGTGGAGGTCATTATGGTCCTGTGGCACGCTAGTGGCCTGGTGTGGTGGTGATTGTAGCCCCATGGTGCGGTGGTGGCCATGGTTTTGTGGCGTGGTGGGCACCATAGACCATCACAGCCTCATGGCATGACAGTCACCACAACACGGTGATGACCACAGTCTCATGGCATGGTGGCAACCATGGTGTGGTGACTACAGCCCCACGGCATGGTGGTGACCACAGCCCTGTGGCATGGTAGTGACCATGTCCCCACCTCTCCTAGGTCCCACGCTGCTCCTCACCAGCGACATCATCCGTGCCCGTCTCGGTTCCTCGGCACTGGACAGGTAACTCCCATTGGGAGGAACATCACCAGCAACCCACCACCATGTCACCGGCTGACCTCTCCATCTCGGCAGCATCCAGGAGTACCGCCTGTCGGGGTGGTTGGCGCAGCAGGAGGACATCCACCGTATCGTCCTGTACCAAACCGACTGTACCCTGACGCCGTGGACCGTGCGCTGCATCCGTCAAGCCGATTGCATCCTCATCGTAGGGTTGGGCGACCAAGAACCGGCGCTGGGAGAGGTGAGGTGGGGAGGGGTAGGCGGTGGTGGGACAACACCGCGCCGGGGTGGCTGATGGCTTCTACAGCTGGAGCAGATGCTGGAGAACACGGCGGTACGTGCGCTGAAGCAGTTGGTTCTCCTACACCGCGAGGACGGTCCCAGCCCTTCCCGTACCGTTGAATGGCTCAACATGCGCAGCTGGTGCTCGGGTCACCTCCACATCAAGTGTCCCCGGCGCGTCTTCTCCCGCCGTAGCCCCGCCAAACTGGTACGTGTGTTCCCCCTTGGGTGACCTTGGTGGTTCCACCACCATCATCGTCACCCATCGTCCATCCCATCCGCAGCGGGAGATGTACGAGAAGGTGTTCGAGAAGAACGCCGATCGGCACAGCGACTTCTCCCGGTTGGCACGGGTCCTCACCGGTAACACCATCGCCCTCGTTCTGGGAGGTGGCGGAGCCAGGTGGGTGCTGCGCTGTGGCAGGATAGGACCCGGTGGGGTGTGGTCATCCATCCTTCTCTTCATTTTCTCCATCCGGCCATCCAGGGGCTGCTCCCATATTGGGGTGATCAAGGCGATGGAGGAGTCGGGGATCCCCATCGACATGGTGGGTGGCACCTCCATCGGCGCCTTCATCGGGGCGCTCTACGCCGAGGAGCGCAGCGCCGTCCGCACCAAGCAGCGGGCGCGCGAGTGGGCCAAGGTGGGTGCCGTGGCACGTCCTCCACCCCGACGAAGGCCCCCCCTCCTTGTGGCCAGCCTGCGTTGTTTCTAAAGCTGCTTCTTCCTCCTTTTCTTCTTCCTCTTCTTCTTCTTCCTCCTTCACATTCTCTCCTACTTGTTATTCTTCCTCCTCTTTCTTCTTCCTCCTCCTCCACCTTCTTCTCTCCTTTTCTTCTTCTGCTGCTTCTTTCTCCTTCTCATCTTCTTTCCTTTTTCTTTCTTCTCCTCTTCCTCCTCCTCCTTCTCTCCTTACTCTTCTTCCTCCTCCTCCTCCTTCTCTCCTTCTTACTCTTCTTCTTCCTCCTCCTTCTTTCATTCTTACTTTTCCTCCTCCTTCTCTTCTTCTTCCTCCTCCTCCTCCTCCTTCTCTCCTTCTTACTCTTCCTCCTCCTTCTCTCCTTCTTACTCTTCCTCCTCCTCTCCTTCCTCCTCTTTCTTCTCCTCCTTCCCTCCTTCTTACTCTTCCTTCTCCTCCTTTTCTGCTTCTTACTCTTCCTTCTTCCTCCTCCTGCTTCTCTCCTTCTTGCTCTTCCTCCTCCCCTCCTTCTTCTCTCCTACCTTCTCCTTCTCTCCTTCCTCCTCCTTCTTCTTCCTCCTCCTCCTCCTCCTCCTCCAGTGCATGAATTCAGTGTTCGAGACCGTCCTGGATCTCACCTACCCCATCACCTCCATGTTTTCGGGCTCAGCCTTCAACGCCAGCATCAACAAGGTTTTCCAGGACAAGCAGATTGAGGTGCGTCACACGGACCCCTCCCCACCCAGGGCTTCACCCACCCGTGACGAGGCTTCCAGCCAGCTCCCCCACCCACCCACCAACGTCCCCACGGCGTCACCCACCCCGTCTTGTCCCCACAGGACCTGTGGCTGCCCTACTTCAATGTCACCACCGACATCACGGCCTCGGCCATGCGAGTGCACACGGATGGTAAGAGCTCCCCAGGGAACCGGGGAAGTTCTCCGGTGCCACCACATCCCCCTCTTTGTGGGGACCCTCCTCACCGACACCCCAAAACGGTGTCATTGCCCCACGGAGGAAAGTTTGCCACGTGCCGAGGGGAGGTCGCATCCTGGCACGGCAAGGAAAGAGCTTGGAGGGCTCATAGTGAGCCCAAAGAGTGCTGTGACCCCACCAGGCTCAGCACCCCACGTCTGGCTGTGCCCCACGTCCTCGGTGGGGTTGGGGGCAGAATTGGGGTGCAGAGCTGCACCCTGACACCTCAAGCATGCGTGTCCCCTCTAACAGACCTGCTCACCACTAACCCCCAGTAACCCACGCTCACAGCATGTGGAGCACGGGGACGCGGTGACAGGGCTGGGGATGACGTGGTGGTGGGGATGATGTGGTGGTGGTTGTGATGGGGATGATGTGGTGGTGGTGGTGGAGTTGACGTCG